AAAATATCCCACTCCTATTATTTTGTGGACAACTGTATGTATGTATGTATGTATGTAAATGAAGTGAGGGCAGACATGCCAGAGACAAGAGCATTACCAAGGATTCGCATTGCTATTCAGATGCATGCAGCCATATTTGCTCGTCGGTCGGTCGGAGGTTACACGTGGCTTCGTGTGTGTGTGTGTGTGTAGGAGGTTTTTTGTTGTGGCAGTGGCTGCTGCGTAGGCTGGCCATGCGCCACTCATATTTTGCATACTCGTATGCACATACATACATACATATCTCATATCTCTTGCGATGCTAATGAGCGCTGATGTGTGGCGCATGGCCAGGACAGAGCACACGCGTACGTAAGAGTTTTAATGAGCTGCAAATGTTTCGTCTATTTTTTTTACTATTTTTTGCGCTGGTCCCAACTTCCAGCGTTTTTTTTTTTTTTTTTGGAATAGCCAAAGTATGTATATGGGTGGTGATATGTTGAAAGTAGCAAGCGCGGCTGGTATTCATGGCATGAATTTTAATTTTTTATTAGTGCACGTGCACTTAGATACAGTTGTGTGTGTGGATGTTCGGAGACAAGCATTCGCGAATTCAAATTGCGGTTTTCTATTACAAACGTAGGTATGTTTTCTGTACATATGTAGATAAGTACATATGTATGTATGTATCCATGTTTGTCAGTTTGTCTATGAGAATTTTCAAATGAGTAAGCAATGGCTAGATGCGCCCATTCAAATGGCATTTGATGTTTTAAAATGCACGCCCACACATACCTATAACACATACATACATACATACATACATACATACATATGAGTGTATGTAACTATGCAGGTGTAATTGTGAATTGCAGCAATGCAGCCACAAATGCCACATTCACTGCCGTCAGCAGTTCGGTTCGTGCCCGCTCAATGACCACGACAGGCGTGGTTGGTTGGTTGGTTAGTTTGTTGGTTGCTAGATGCTGGATTTGATAATCTTGTACGTACGTACATATATACATACATACATACATACATACACGCATTCGTATGCACACATAATACCGAATTGTGCGTGGTTTTGCCCTTTAAACTCATTGCCTTTTTTTTTTTTGTTACTTGACTCGTCAACACATTCTTTCCTTACCCCACCCACCATCGATCGACCTCCGGTCAAACCCAATTTGCGCCCAGTTTCTCACTCAACACATTCACACACACACACACACACACACACACACACCTCACATGATACTCACTTTATATAGGGCTGATGCAGCGCCACCAAACTAGCATGGATGCCAACGCTAATGGCGGCCAAGTGGAAGTAATCGAATAGCACCGGCAGATGGTAGTGCAGCCCTCGACCTGGATGGAAATTCAGCTGTAAGGTGCGTGTAGAGGCCAACGATAGTGCGCTGGTGCCATTCTGTTCACCAAACCACAGTTCCAATTGCAATGAGAACTCAGCACGTTCAATGGATTCCTTCAAGTGACGGCTGTCGACTGGAAAAAAAGTGAAAAAAGTGAAGTGAAAAGAGAAAATCGAAAATTAAATACTTAAATTGTGAAGAGGATTTGAATACGAAATGAAGTTGCTGTTCATATGAAATAAAATTAAGTACTCTGATTTCTTGAGATAATTAGCAATACTAATTGAATGATTGAGGTAGCAAAGTTATTGCTAGAACGAAAGGGAGTGTAAATGAAAAGCGGTTAGAGGAAAGTGAGGTAGAAAATAAAGGGGGAAAATACTTTACTTTGAATTCGGAAAATTTAATTGAAATTGTTATCTTCTTATTTTTGACCAAAAATAATTTTTTAGAAGAAAGTATTTGTATTTTCCATGAGCAGAAATGTGATTTTTTTGCCAATGGTTTTAATTTGAACATGGCAATGAACTATTTTTCTTTTGAGTCTCGTCATTTTAAAACTGAACTGCATTTGAATTGAAAATCGTGATTTGTTCACGACATCTAATTTCCCCTTGACCAAGTAATTTAGACTAGATTAGGTTAGTTGAGGTTAGGTTAGGTCAAGCAGAGATCATGGAGATTTAAAGTGTTTCCAGAAAACTGGCGAGCTGACAACTTGGCTTATCCCGTCTTTAAAAGCATCAGTTTTCTTAGCAAACTGGAACAACGTTGTGTGAGTGAGGACCAAAACCTGCTAAGATGATGTGCTCCACGGTCTTCTCATTCACACCTGCGGAGCTCCGTGGCGGTTTAAATACCGTAGATCGTACTCCCATGTCCCATCCGAGTCAGCCATACTCCCGCCATCCTTTGATTCCCGGACTCACGGAGTCTATTCGTCCAGGAATTGTTGACATTATGCTATAAGTAGTAATCGCAAAGTCTGAATACAAACTTCCCTGTGGCAATCATTTTGGCAGCAATTTTGAACGCTAGATGTTTAGAGTACTGAAATCGGAGTAGTTCTAAGTTCCCCTGTCACACTAATCATAGATCAGCTGACGTATATAAGTACTCTTTTGAGTAAGGTTTTATTCTTAATTGCTGTCGACCAAACTAGTGTACTATGGAAAAGTATGACCATTGTCGTGAAGATACAATAGAAAAGGATTACTATAGACCCCAGTTGCACAGAATGGAACCGCGGCTTACTCAGCCCCTCTCCTACGTTACTTCGTCAGTTGAGTTTGCTATCGAGATGTATGTACTTATTCCGAGACTCGGTCCATCTCGATTTGGCATAGACCAGACCGGATTCTAATATCTCCTAGGAAAGAATATTAAGTCTGTAATTTTCGTGTTGACGATAGCACATTCTTTGGTTGCCCAAAGGACTATGTAGGATACTGCTGGGCTTTTGAGTGAGTTAAGTATGGACAAACATTTCCTACTTACGGACGCAGTTGTCATCCTCATGGGCTTAAGTTCGGTGGGTGTTCTCTCTATTTTTTTAGTAGATTCTTGGTCATCAGCACAAAAGTAGTGCCAACAGTACGCTTTCTTGTGACATTTATCATAAATACAATAACAATAAATAAAATAGTTTCACTAAGTAAGTGACATTAAACGACTTTACTGTGATATTCTCTTTGTCACGATGCAGAGAAATAAAGACAGCACCGTTTGTATCGCTAAGTATCTGCTTGTCTACTCATGATCAGAATTCAACATTCCGTGAAGATCTGCCCTCTCTCAGTCAGTGCAATCTCTTATTTTATCCTTCTTGCCTCTTCAAATTATATCATAAGCGGCCGCTGGGATCGGTTCAAGCCAACATAAAAAATAAAAAACGAAAAAACTTTTTCTAATAGCGGTCACCCCTCGGCAGGCAATGGCAAACCACTGAGTGACATGAAAAACAGCTTCTCATAAATATACAATCGCCATTCGGAGGCGGCGTAAAACTATAGGTCCCTCCCCTTTTTGTGACAACATCAAGGCGCACGTCACAAATGAGAGGAGAAGCTCGGCCAAACACAAGCATATATATTTTGTAAGCGCACCTGGCGCTGCCCTTGATGTTCTTCTACACTTTACCATCGCTTTCCCCCTAGCGTGGAGAGACATTACGGCCACCTGCAGGCTTTAAATAAATGGATTTTGGTATGATACAGTTTGGAGTGAAGCAGTAATCTAGACACAAGTGTCTTTTCAATGCCTAAGGAGAGTACGCCACCATTACCTTTTAAATATGAGGATATTATACAAGGTTGAGTAGTGTGAGGATGAATGCGGACTTAATTTTAACATTCAGCCCGGACTCACACACTATCGAACCTTCACTGATGGCTTCAAAACTAAGACTGGGTCAGGATATTGTGTCTGTATCGAAGATAATGAGGATGAGATTTGCTTTACTCTTGGGGAATAAGCAGAGGTATTTGCAATCCTCAAGGCCATGGACATCGTGGGGGAAACTAGATAGAGATAAAGGACAGTCATGTTGCACTCAAGGAATTGGCCAGTCCTCTAACTACTTCCAGACTAGTTCGGCAATGCAAGTCTCGACTAAATTATGTTGGGAAATATAACGAACTTGTCTTACTCTGGATGCCAGGTCAATCGGTGGTACCTGGTAATGAGGTATCTGACCATTTGGCCAGACAGGGCGCAGATCAAGCGTTCCTCGCTTCGCACACAGTTATAGCACTCCCCCCTTCGTCCGTCAAAGTCACCGTCAGAAACTGGGCCCATATTTTCTTTCAGAAATGCACGCGTTGTTTGGTAAATTTAGTTCCGAAAAAAAATTTATGACCTCGTTTGAACTAGTAGTAGTCGAACATTGATCTACGAGACATGGTGCTAAAACTATATACATATATTTAGTCACACCTGATATTCAATTAGATAATTTCGGTGATCGAACCTGGGGCCTGCTGGACAATCCCTTGCGGCTTCATCCATTCGGTTAAAGTGATAGTGACAGCAGCACTATTCTAAGCAATGGGCCATAACTTAAAAAGTCTAATTTTAAAATTCAGAATACTTTCTTTTTAAAATAAAGAGCTTCTTAATGGAAAGTATGAAATTTTTTCTAGTAAAACCAATGTTTCCTCATGTAAACACGATAAAAATCTCTGTAAGAATTTCTCATCCCACATTTTCGTCTAGCAACTATTGATGGAAAGATTCATTTACATTTTTTAAGTAATGTTTTTCTTTGGCGTAAAACTGTAGGTCCCTCCGCTTTGTGTGACAACATCAAGGCGCATACCACAAGTCGGAGGAGAAGCTCGGCCAAACACTAACATATGTGTAAGCGCCAATCAATTATTATTATTATTTTCTTTGTGCGAGTGAATCTAGCTCTTAAGATGGTAGAATTTAGTTGTATATATACATACACAAAGTAGGCTACTTTTGGTTTAAACAAATTATTTCATACGGCAGTTGAAAATTGCGTAGGTATGCGAAGTAGGAAAATGAAATAAGTAAACCGAACAAGAGACTTCGGCATCCATCTAATGCTGCATACTTACGAGCGCACTATTTGCTCACCTTGAAAATACCCAAATTTAGCAATGAGTGAGGAAGCAAGAAGCTTTTGAAAAGTTGTGAACCAACTTTAATGTCAAATAAGTAAAACTTATAAAAATTTCAAACTTTACAGATTACTAGTTTGTACTTACAGAAAGCTAAATATGTACATATGTGTTAGTGAATATCTTAGGTGTTTTAGGAAATATGTAATTTCAGCTGGCGGAAATTTTCACATTCATGTCCTTCAGACAATCTTAAGTTTTTGCTGACTAAGAAATAATCTCAAAATTCGAACGAAAGTGTTGCAATATTTTTGGCAAATACTTATTCAACATTTCACTCGATATGTCGTAGAGATTTTACTTTTCTAAAAATTGAAACAAACATTGCAGACGACTTAAGTTGTCATCTCACTTCATTTTTTTATTTCATTTCATTCACCTCAGGGATGTGTGTACTATTTGCTTTCCACAGATTTGTCTTGGCAACGTCAACAACAAAGCAACGACGACGTGGGCCCACTTAACTGCGCGCATTCATGGTGAGCCGCATAAAGGCCCTACATCACACGTGTATGTACATATGTATGTACATACTTAATAAAAAGAATCTGATACATACTTATGTATGTATGTGCATAAATTTGTTATTTAAGAACTTTTGTGTACATTTACGCTAAGTTATGTATGTATTTATGCTAAGACAGAATGTATGTATGTAGGAATGTATCGCGCTGGCATCAAATTTCTTGTCTTTCATACACTTTTGTTCACACATACATATGTATGTACGCTTGTTAACTGCGTTTAATATAGAATAGTATAAACGCAAAGATAAAATAGCAGAAACGCGCAGATAAAACGTAAAATATGCCACTTGCATGAAAAGTATCTGTCTGTCATTCGGTCTGCCGGTCTCCAATTGGAATACTTTGTAACGGGTGATTTTTTTGAGGTTAGGATTTTCATGCATTAGT